TTCACACTCCACATTCAACCCATTGTCAAGTTCTGATATTTCTACATCTAAAATATATCCTAAGAATGTTTACCTCTGTCTGTTGTCTTAGTTGACCTTCCAGTGTATTTACATCGTCTCTCTCCTGGATGACAGCAACTGCAACAGTTTCAACCTCTTGGATCTCCTTTAATCTGTTTACTACAGAGCAACCTTTTTTACAAATGTAAATCAAATCAATTTATTTTCTTGCTTAAAACCACTCAGTTCCCTCCCCTCTCTTTCTGTTGTCCTCAGATTAAAATACAAGTTTTCTACTGTGACTTTCAAGGCTTTATGTGACCTGGTTTCTGTCAAATTTGTTTCCTATAACTCTCCCCCTTTCTCTCTAGGTTTCAGCCCCATTGTGCTTCTAATTCCTGGGACAACCTTTGGACTTTCTGTTTTCTGTGCCTAGAATACTTTCTCCTTACCTCTTTATTTGGCTGGCTCACTTTAAGCCTGTAGGCCTCAATTAAATGTCATCTCCTTGGAGAATCATTCTTTATCTAAATTCTCTCTCCCCTCCCCCACTATCTTTTCACATTCTTTGATAACACTTATTACTTATCAACATCTGTATTAGCATATTTATTTATTTACCTTATTTACTTGTTTATTATTAAATTTACAAATGAATGAATAAGAATAGGTAGTGATCTATGTACTAAATAATATCATTTTTTCAAAACAACTTGGGTTATAGTATAGACGTTAGCCTTAGGCTCTCAATACTAGCATTATAGAAGTTGTGTACTTCTAATTTTTGTCTTTTTTTTTTACTATTGCATTCCACTCACTGTTGAAAATCGAAAGTGAGTTTTCAGTCCAGCTCAGCCACTAACTTTATGACTTTGGAAGTCCCTTTCATTCCTAGGAGCTATATTTTCTCATTTGTAAAATAACAATGTTGGAGGAGATAATCTTTAAGATCTTTCCAACTCTGATTTATGGGTAAGTGATGGCTTAACAGTATTAGGTATATAATGATTAATGTGTTCATTGTATGGTTGGGGAACCTGAGACACAAAGAAACTGGGTACTGTCCCAGGTTACCCATCAATACTGAATTCAGTTTTTCACTCAGCTCTGCACACAGGTAAGGACCAGCCTGGGCTGGTGCCTCTGGCCCCCAGAAGCCTGCCTCTGGGCTCCTTGAATCACTCTGGACTCAGATAAAGAGAATGTGGTAGACAGGGGACTCACCTAAGACTGTCTTGCTCCTTAAGTTGCTCATGGCTGAAGAGAGGGCCACAATTCACACTTGTCCACTGGAGAGCTGGTGCCAGGCTAAGTACCAAATAGGCTTCTAGGAGATTACAGGGCTTTAAGGGTGAAGTCTGGGACAAAGAGATTGTGGAAACCCCTTTTCCAAATTTCTATTACCCTGTCCTGAATGTTTACTGGTTGCCAGGCCTTGTGATAAATGCTTTTTTTTCCCATGGATGAATTCATCAAATCTTATGAAGCAGGTGCTCTTATTATCCCTATTTTACAGATAAGGAAACTATCAAGATACAGGACATTAAATAACCTTCCCAAGTAAGTAACAAAGCCAATAATTGAATCCAAGCAGTTCTGGCACCAGAGCTCATACTTTACCTACTATATTATATCACCTCTAACTGTTCATAGGTACATAAGACATACAGGATTCAAAAGCCTCTATGGCTCTGGGATCAACATTTATTCTTTTGAAAGAGTTTCTAGGTACAAACATTAACACAGGGCTGTCTGCTCTCAGATCCATTCTCCACTCTTCTTCTGTACACTAAATTTCTTAGGCTCCCTTGTTGTCTCACTTCTTTTGTCCAATGGGAGACACCTGTGGGAGATTTTTGAGCAGGCGGAAGGAAGAAACCAGGGTATTTCCTTTAGTCCCCACCCCTATGCTTCAGATAGGTATATTCTGGAAATGGCTGTATCTCCTACACAATTCCAGCATCTGTTTAACTACTCCTCCATTCATGACTTCTGAACCATCAGGCCACCCACCCCATGCTTGTAGCTTCAGTTTAGCACCAGTTTCTGGGTTCTGGCAACATTACCTTTCCCATTATCTATCTAGCCCCAGGAGTGGTAGCAGTTTTCTGTGGTTGCTAAATGCTGGCTTTCCTCACCATCTCCCGTTTGACTTTTTAGCTCTGCAGGTAAGATGCATTTCCTGTATTAAATGCTCTCTCTTTAAAAGATCTAGGGTGGTTTCTATTTTCTTGACTGGATTATGATTGATATAGGCAACTTCTATAATCCCAGGGCTACTCACTATCACATAAATTAGTTCAAAGCATATATCACAACCTTTAATTATCTTGTTTACTTATTTGTTTTCTATTTTTCCTCCACTCAAAGTAGATTGTAAGGTCTATGAGGAACTTTGTCTTGCATCTATCAAAATGCTTGGTACATAGGGATTCAATAATATTGTTGAATGAATGTATCCATCAAAAAAAAAAATCCAAGTTTTTATTGGATATCTTCTATGTGACAGTCACCATTGTAGGAAATACCAAGGTGGGTGATTCATTGTCCCTGATTAAAAAAAAACAAAACAAAACCAAAAACACCTTATAATTCCATTTACATGACAAGACATATAAAAATGTACATGTGACCAGTGTATTAGTTTGCCAGCACTGTCATAACAAAGTACCAAAGACTGGGTGCCTTAAACAACAGAAAATAATTTTCTCAAAATTCTGAAGGCTAGGAGTCCACGATCAAGGTGGTCTCTTCTGAGGCCTCTCTCCTTGGTTTACAGATAGCTACCTTCTCCCTTTCTTTTCACATGGTCTTTCCTCTGTACCCATCTGTGTCTAAATTTTCTCTTTTTATAAGGACACTAGATATATTGGATAGGGGTCTATCTTAGTGATCTTATTTTAACTTCATTATCTCTTTAAAGATACTGCCTCGGAGCGCCTGGGTGGCTCAGTTTGTTAAGCATCTGCTTTTGGCTCTGGTCATGATCCCAGTGTCCTGGGATGGAGCCCTGCCTGATCCAGCTCCCTGCTCAGCAGGGAGCCTACTTCTCCCTCTCCCTCTGCTTCTCCCTCACCCCCTGCTGCTCCCCCTGCTTGTGCTCTCTTGCTCTGTCAAATAAAATCTTGAAAAAAAATAAAAATATGTTGTCTCCAAATAAAGTCATATTTTGAAGCATTGGGCGTTCAGACTTCGACATATAAATATTTGGGGGACACAATTCAGCCTGTAACAACCAGTATGTAAAAGACCATTTTCAATTGAGAAGGAAAAATGGTAGTGCCATAGGAGTTAGATAAAAGATAATAAAACCAGGGCCTGGAGTATTCCAGGAAAGCTTCCTAGAGACGGTGTGCCTAGTGCTGGATCTTAAAGAAATCTTAGAGTCATGACAGCCTGACTGGGCTGGCTGGCAGGAAAGGTGCATCCAAGAGGCTCAGTGTGAGTGAAAGCTCAGAGATGAGAAAATGAGGAGACCATTGTAGAATTACTAGACAATCAACCTTGGGAGGAAGTTGAAAGGCTAATCAGGATAAGCTCCCATTTGATTCAAGAATCCCTTGCCTGCCAAAGGACCATTCACCTTCTGCTCCTATCCCTCCCAGGACTGGGTGTTCATCAAAGCAGATGCTTAGATCTTTGGCCAGCTCTGTCTGGCCAAAAACAATGGCTTGGATGAAGTGGGGAGAATCTGCTAGGACATAGAGGAAAATAAGTATGTGTGTGTAGCATGCCAGTGATGTCTTCATACCAATCATCTTCAGGCACTTCCTTCTGATGTCATATTTTAATTCCCTCTTGCTGAAGCTGCAACCTTTGTTTTTGTAATACCATTCTTGCCTGTCCTGCCCTGTGGGTCAGGAGACTTGGATTCTTCTCTTGTTTAGCTGTGCTACCTAAGGCAAATGTCTTTCAATCTTTGGGCTTCAGTGTTTATGTGTTTAATAGGGGGCTAGTTAACACTCCCTGTCATGTTCTTCTTACAGGGTAATTGTAAGGACTACATGGAATAATAATGGGTGTGAATGTGACCAACAATGTCAACACTCAGCAGCTGTAAAGGTGTCAGCCTGGGTTGCACTGCCCAGATTTAGGGATATCATGAAGAGGTGGGTGGTTTCTCCGTTTGCCTGTTTTACTGATGTTCTTTTGACTCATTCTCAGCAAAATAAGCAAATGGAAAATTCATCCATCAACAAGCTACCTTTCATATTCCTGAGGATGTGAGGGAGAATCCTGGAACGGTGTGTGTGTGTCCGCGCTCTCGCTGGCGCGCGCGCACGCACACGCACTTGCGTTAGCAAAAAGAAGCTTGGAAAGCTGCAGAGGGTAAAGTTGAGGCTTTATCTTTTTTATGTGACCTTAGATAGGTCCCTTCCATCTTCTAAATCTCCATTTATTTATCTGTAAAATGAAGATACTAACGCCTGTGTTCACACGGTTTTCCTGAGAAGCGAAAGTAATGAGGATGAAAGCCCCAAAAGAGTACACAATAGGAGAAAGGATCCGAGGGGAGTATGCAGAGCGAGGGCTGGGGGAAGGGAGGCAGGAGAGTGTTGGCATGGCTCCACTGGAGCAGGATCTTATTATTTCAGAGGTTGGCCTAACACCTCTGGCAACTTTGGAGAGGACTTTTCGCTGACTCGACACAATTGGCACAGCTGGGAGCCCCACAATAAACAGCATCTAACTACAGCACGGAGGGGAGGGCAGAAAGAGGTGGCCTCCGCCTTCTCCCGGGTGAAGGTCATTTACCCCCATCCTCTCCCTGCACCCCACCTCCCAGTTCTGAAGCCTTGGCAGGGGACAAAGGCAGTCGGTTGGGACCCTCCTCCTACGCTTCTCTCAGTCAAGCACTCCTGGAGCTGGAGGGCGGAGAGGCAGAGCCTGCCAGCTGGGATGGAACAACCTGACTGAAGGGGAGGTCCGGGGCGGAGGGGATTGAGCTGTAGGGCTGTGGAGGAGGGGAGGCGGAGGGGGCGCTTGGGCTTTCATTCGATCCAGCCCTGCCAGCCCAGCCTGCCTGAGACAACCCGCGCCAGCCACGCAGGCCTCAGAGAAGCCGGACTTCGCGGGCACCATGCAGTGGATAAGGGGCGGATCAGGAATGGTGAGTGCATATAACCCCGGTTTACCCTCCCTAAGCCTCAGTCCCCCTGGCCCCACCCTCCACCTCCGGCTTCTTCATCAGCCGCCCTGCAGTGAGGCCCCTGGCTTCTGCCCACCGCCCTCTCCGCCACTGTCCTTGAGACAGTAGCGAGCTTGCTGTGGCCATTTTAGGAGCCCTTGCTCACTCGCCTGCTGAAGAAAGACCCCTCCCATCCCCCTCCGCATCCCTACGTACTCCCCCCCATTGGGGTGAAATGAGAGTGGGGGTCACCTGGAAGGCCAATGAGGCAAGGGGGGCTGGCAGAGGGTCTTTGGGAACAGTGAGTCTTGAAGGTGCCCGGTGAGCTGGTATGGGTTTGGGAGGGAGAGGGTAATCAAAAAGCTTGGGATTGTGGAGAAGGCAGTATGGGAGAGATTCATGGTCTCCCAAAAAGGCTGCATGTACCCCTTCACTCTGGCCAGTCTCAGGGCTTGAGGGCCAGGGAGTGACTCTCAGGGACGCTGCATAGGGGGGCCCTGGAGCTCTTCCTTGCCTGGGCTGGAGTCACCCTGTTCACACTTGGGGTTTTGTAAAGGAGAGAGAGCTGCAGAAACCCTCATCCTGGGATTAGGTCTGAGCCCTATTCAGTTAGAAGAGCTCTTTCTTATCCCCAACCCCATTCAAGGAGTGTGTGCTTGTGTGTGTGTGTGTTTAGTATTATCCTCCAACAGTTCATTGTATGCTATGGTGCTCCCATCTCCACCTGGAGACCTTGGAATGACTTCCCTTGAAGAGAGGAAGTGGTGGCTGCATCTTGATGCATCTCTCACTCAGCCAGAGGTAGCTCAAGTCTGGTCAGGGACTCTGGGGGTTTGGAGGCATGGGCAGGAGGGTCTTAGAGGGCAGTTGGGTTGGGTCAGCAGGTGCTGATGGCAATCTTAGCCCACACTTCTGCACTGCCAGCCACAACCCACAGCTGAAGAAAATTAGCCTGAAGCAGTTGGTAAAAACTGATATTTAACTCATTTTTTACTCCTGTTCTGGAAGGGGAGAGGAATTTGGTATGGATTAGGACTGTATTCAGAGGAGCTGTCCTCCTCCTTTCCTCATGGTTTCCTTAGGATTCTGTTTCACTGGTTCTTAAAGGCATCCAGTTTATATTCCTATATGCCAGAGCTTTAAGAGACTCTTCTCAGACTTCCCTCTTTCCCTGGGGTCCCATCAAAGCTGTTTCAAATGTTTGTAGAACCAGAAAAGGTTAGATCAGGAAAACACCTTCAAGTCCTTGTCATCCATTCAGGAAAGCGGCAACCCAGAGAATGGGAGAGACTTGCCCAGGGCCAAACAGCTCCATGAAGGCAAAACTGAGTCTAGCACAGGAGTCTTCTGTCTTTTTGTCATTGTCCCTCTCCACTGCTTCACAGAAACTTCAGTTCAAATGGTGCTGATAGGCAGAGAGGGACAAACAGCCATGATCTTGGGAAAGAACTTCTTTCAGGATGAACTAATGTCATGAAATTTGTCTGAAAAACAAAACAAAACATGACAGTCCTGGTATTCTGGCAGCTGAGTATGGGTGAGACCTCCCACCTCTTCTAAATATATTTTAGCATAAGGGTCAAGAGCCACCCATTGACAACAGATTGAAGTAATGGGAGAAATCTGGAGTTTTGCCATTTGTGTGTGAGAGAAAAGAGGGAGTAACAGATACCTTGTAGAGACTATGGAGTTAAAGATTGATGGGGAATTCTTATAATATTTTTAGGGGACTTGAGTGGTGAATATTATATGATGAAAGCATTTATTTAATCATTTCCTAGAAATCAAGAAACTTTATTCTAGTCTGGAGGCAGGAAATCTCTAGTCTTGGCCCTGCTATTGTTTTGATAGGAAAGTTTGGGCCTCAGTTTTCTTACCTGTTAAATGGGCCTATTGATGATTACCAAAATTCCTTTGAGGTCTGAGAGTCTCAGACTCCTAAAAGTAAATGTTGGACAAAATGTAACTAGTGGCTCATTATGAAAAAAAAGACAAGGAATATTTATTTAGCCACCATTTTATAATGTTGCTAGTCAAAAGGTCTTTACTCCTTGTTCTTTCATTTGCAAAGTGCTTGAAATTTATATTAGGCTTTTTATAATAGTGGGGTTTCTTTTTAGAACATTTGACTATTTTAACTGATTGCAAGTGTCACATGTGAATCAAAGTCCTTGAACATAAAACATCGGTAAGGATTTTACAGAATAAAATCTTTCTCAGTAGAGTGTTAAAAAACCTGTGAGTTCATTTTTGATGGTAAATTGTTTAGCATATTTATTCATAACTTCTGTTTGCAATGCAATTTGTGTTGGGTTAGGCATAGAGTGGAAAGAATGCTGGTCTCAGAGTCACAAGTCTGAGGATGAAGTCCTGGCTTTTATACTTCTCAGCTCTGAAACAATTGCCAGTTGTCAAACTTCTTTCATCCTCAGTATTCTCATCTATAAAATGGGTGTAAAATACCTTATTTCATAGTTGCTATTGAGGTTGTTAATTTGTTAAAAAAATATAGAGTATCTACTATGAGTTGGCACTGATTTAGGTGCTGGAGACAGTGAACAAAAACAAATTCTACATTCTCATGGATCTTACATTCTGGAGGCTGAGTGTTCACTAAACAATTACACAAATTAATATATAATATGGCAGGAGGTGCTAAGCACTAAGAAGAAAAAGATAACCTGGTAAAAGAATAGAGATAAATAGGGGATGGGATGATATATTAGACAGATGATTCAGAGCCTCTCTGATTAAGAGACATTTGAGCAGAGATGTGTAGGAAATGAAGAAACAAGCTCTGTGCAGATATTTAGGAGAAGAAGGCTCTACACATAAGAAATAGCCAGAGGAGGCATTGTGGAGAGAGAGGTGGAGCACAACTTGTTTGTTTAAGGAACAGCATGGAAGCCAGTTTCCCCAGGAACATTTAATCTGAGTGATATTGGTAGCTTTTGGAAGGTTTGAATATGTAAGGAACATAATCTGACTTAAAATTTAACAGAATAAATTGTAGTGGGGCAAAGGTAAAAAGTGTAAGGAGGTTCTTACAATAGTCCAGGTTAGAGGTGATGGTGGCTTGGATGAGGGTAAAAAGGCTATACCCAGAATCATTTGTAGATAATGGCTGTCCAGTTTTCCCAACACATTCCTTTTTCCTTTCTGACCACCCATCTGATTCTCATATGGCTGAGTGTGGGGCTAGAATGAATGAAGGATGGGTGGATGTAGGCAAGGACATTTCACATCTAAGTCAATGATCAAATGATCTGCTTTGGGTTTCTGGCCTCTGATGGGGCTAATTGAGGGTTTGTTCTATGTGAATTACCAGTGAGCCTGTTCCTTGCTTTCTAGGATTCTGGACAATAAGATTAATTATATTATTACTACTTTAGAGATGTGGTATACTTAACATATATAATATCTGGAATAACTCATTTTAATACCCTCATTTATATGACAAAAGTATTTTGAATAATAATCATGTAGTAATCAGTACTAATAATTATTTTATTGTTTTGCTTTTAATTTTAAAATAATTAGCAATGAAAAAGAATAAACTTCAATTTAAAAGATATTTAAATTCAGTAACATTTCACATATAACCTAAAATGTGTGCTTACTGAACAAAAATAGTACACATTGCAGTTTGTATTGTTTTTGCTGTTTTAAATTTTAAGCACAAATAAAAACTCCAGTTGGTCAAATAGAATGACAGAATTGAAGTGACTTACATTCTATTTCTTTGACTTTACAATCCCTGTGCTATCATTGTTTACTTTGAACCTACTATTTAAATGATGAAACATATAGTACCAGAGGGATTGCAGACTGAAATTCACCCAAAGCTACCTTGAATGATTTTAAAGCTTTGCAAGTGAAATGAACTGAAGGAACACCTGTAAAGTCTGTGTATAGGGGGGGGGTGCACAACTGAATCCACTTCCCTATAGAATACAGTGTTATTAAAGGAAAGTAATATAAGGTGATGATTTAAAACTCAGTTTTAAATTGTTTAACAACAATTGCTTTGAATTTTGACCAACAAAGGTTTTATTCAGGGAGGAGTATTTTATTACTGACATTGTTTAAAATTACTGATCCATAGTGAAAAAAAAATACTTTGACTTTTCATCTTTTAAAAAAATCTGTATAGATAGTGCACTCCTTTTTATTTTTATTTTTTAATTTAATTTTATTATGTTATGTTAATCACCATACATTACATCATTAGTTTTTGATGTAGTGTTCCATTATTCATTGTTTGCATATAACACCCAGTGCTCCATTCAGTATGTGCCCTCTTTAATACCCATCACCAGGCTAACCCATCCCCCCACCCCCCTCCCCTCTAGAACTCTAAATTTGTTTCTCAGAGTCCATAGTCTCTCATGGTTCGTCTCCTCCTCCGATTTCCCGCCTTCGTTTTTCCCTTCCTGTTATCTTCCTCTTTTTTTTTTTTTTAACATATAATGTATTATTTGTTTCAGAGGTACAGGTCTGTGATTCAACAGTCTTACACAATTCACAGTGCTCACCATAGCACATACCCTCCCCAGTGTCTATCACCCAGCCATCCCATCCCTCCCACCCCCCACCACTCCAGCAAACCTCAGTTTGTTTCCTGAGATTAAGAATTCCTCGTATCAGTGAAATCATATGATACATGTCTTTCTCTGATTGACTTCTTTCACTCAGCGTAATACCCTCCAGTTCCATCCACGTCATTGCAAATGGCAAGATTTCATTATTTTTGATGGCTGCATAATATTCCATTTTGTGTGTGTGTGTGTGTGTGTGTGTGTGTGTGTACACATATATATACCACATCTTCTTTATCCATTCATCTGTTGATGGACATCTTGGCTCTTTCCACAGTTTGGCTATTGTGGACATTGCTGCTATAAACATCGGGGTTCACATACCCCTTTGGGTCCCTACATTTGTATCTTTGGGGTAAATACCCAGTAGTGCAATTGCTGGAT